AGACAAAGTTAGATTACTTTTAGGAAAATTCGGGGTGGAATCGACGAAAGACAAATTAAATTCGGGTAAAAAAGGAAAGTGTGACAGTTATGGCGACTCTGCTGGGGAATGAGGACACTGCTGGTGGATCGAGAAAGACAAATTAGATTACTTTTGGAAAATTGACAAATTAGATTACTTTTAGGAAAATTGGGGTCGATCGAGAAAGACAAATTAAATTCGGGTAAAAAAGGGAGGTATGACAGTTATGGCGACTCTGCTGGGGAATGAGGACACTGCTGGTGGATCGAGAAAGATAAATTAGATTACTTTTAGGAAAATTGGGGTTTTGTTCTCTTTTCCTTATTTCTGAGTGTCTGCATCGCTGGTTTTCTTAGAATGAGGGTCGCTGATGGCTTTGGTGGTGAGCTGCTATTTTGGGTTTGAAGGATATAGAGATGAGGTGAAGATGAAGGGGTGTCATGTGTTTGGTGAGAGTATGTTGTGTGTGTGTTAGCTGCTCTAGGGTGTGGAGAAGATTAGGGTTCTGCCATTTTTGAAGATGGAGGGATGTCTAGAAGATGATGAAAAACGGTTGGTGCTTAAGGGTCTCTTTTAGATCAGAAACGGCAGGTCCCTTTTTTTGTGTAGTCTAGGGTTTTTTATTTTGTTAAGAAGAAGAGTCTAGAAGAGTCTCTAAGGTGAGCTTAATGGGTATTGGGTATTGGGCTTGGATTTATGGGCTAAGTCCGAATTGGGTCCTAAAATTGGGCTTTAAGACTCTTAAAATTGTGGTCCAACACCTCAGTTAACTCCCTTTAACATAAGATAAAAAATACTACACAACGCAAACACTAATTCAAATTAATTAAACTAAACTATATTAAAACATGAAACTCTTTTTTTTGTATTTTCAAGATTATATAAAGATAAAATAAGGTACTATTTTTGTAATTTTTTAATTTTATGAAAGGTACATAAAATAAATATTTTTTGTAATTTTATTTGTGACGAAATAAAGTAAAAGAGTCAAAATTAGTTGAAATAACTATATTAGACCTAAACTAAGTATTTAAATGCTAAAATATGTAAAATCTTGGGGAGGGTAAAAAATTACATGTCTACAGCTGCTCCTCTTTGACTGGAAATACGAAGTATTTTCAGACAAAGAACGACTAGACAGTTTTTTTGACACGACCCTTATTTAGAGAGACTAAAAACTAATGAAAGGAGAATGTGACCGAGCCCTGGTATCTGAGCTTCCTACATATCCTTGGCTATAAAGGAATCAAGCCATGTGTAGTTCAGAAGTAGGAACAGTGATGGAGTATACTGAGGCGGAGAGCCGGTTGAGGTGCCGTTGCGCCGAGGTTCCGGTCCGCGGTCTTGTTATTACATCAAAATCAAAATGAAAAAGACTAACTAAACCTGTCAACTATGAGTTACAAGATTCCTATCTATAAGTCTTCTGATGCTTGATCTTGAGTCTTCAATGGTTCTTCATGCAGACTTTAGACTTGAACCTTGACGCTTGCTAGCTGCAGGTGCTAGTTCATTCTTCTTCAGATCAAGACCGGACATGCAAGGCTCGTGATTTCAGCCATGTCTTGAGCAGTTCACATCTTTCTCTACTTCTGCATATTGGATTCACTCCCTTTTTTTTTATTCTGGATTGAGACTAACTTTTGTTGATCATCTCGAACTGTTGACTCGCATTCTAGCCGCGAGCTTCTGCTACTTCTGACTTGAATTGAATTCTGAATTGACTTCCCTTGTTCTCCAGGTGGGCGCCTGATTGCCAAAACTTGAACTGTATTCCCTTGTTCTCCAAGTGGGTGCCGATTGCCAAAACTTGAATTGTATACCCTTGTTCTCCAGGTGGGCGCCTGACTGCCAAAACATGAACTGTATTCCCTTGTTCTCCAGGTGGGCGCCTGATAGCCAAAACTTGAACTGTATTCCCTTGTTCTCCAGGTGGGCGCCTGATTGCCAAAACTTGAACTGTATTCCCTTGTTCTCCAGGTGGACGCCTGATTGCCAAAACTTGAACTGTATTCCCTTGTTCTCCAGGTGGGCGCCTGATTGCCAAAACTTGAACTGTATTCCCTTGTTCTCCAGGTGGGCGCCTGATTGCCAAAACTTGAACTGTATTCCCTTGTTCTCCATGTGGGTTCCTGATTGCCAATACTTGAACTGAACTCCCTTGTTCTCCAGGTGGGCGCCTGATTGCCGAAACTCGAACTGTATTCCCTTGTTCTCCAGGTGGGCGCCTGATTGCCCGGACTTGAACTATATTCCCTTGTTCTCCAGGTGGGCGCCTGATTGTCAAAACTTGAACTGTCTTCCCTTGTTCTCCAGGGGGCGCCTGATTGCCAATACTTGAGATGTATTCCCTTGTTATCCAGGTGGGCGCCTGCCATTACAACAAAACAGAAAACACAAAAGAAACTTTTCTGCCCCAGTTTGGTACTGGGAACATCTGTGAGTGTTAATCGAATCTTGTTA